AAGTAAATTTCAAACCAAAACTGATTCTAGTAATATAGATGTAGGACGGTCCTGTATCATACCTCTGTGAATGTAAAATATCTTGTATCTGCTTTATGATACATCTTATTTGCAGACAAAGTAAATTTCAAACCAAAACTGATTCTAGTATTATAGATGTAGGACGGTACTGTATCATACCTCTGTGAATGTAAAATATCTTGTACCTGCTTTAGGATACATAGTAGTGACCGTGCTTTATCAGAGCTATTTTTAATGTTACTCTAGAATGTTCTCTTTCCAGACATTTTTATCAGAGCTATTTTTAATGATGTTACTCTAGAATGTTCTCTTTCCAGATGATGATTAAGAGGCTAATAAAAAAAAAGGTGCCAGGTACCAAAACAGCAACAGAACTTTGCTGTTTTCTGGGTAATATTCTTTTCTTTGTATTTTTTAAAAATTTAATTTAATTTATTGGTACATTTATCAGAGCTATTTTTAATGATGTTACTCTAGAATGTTCTCTTTCCAGATGATGATTAAGAGGCTAATAAAAAAAAAGGTGCCAGGTACCAAAACAGCAACAGAACTTTGCTGTTTTCTGGGTAATATTCTTTTCTTTGTATTTTTTAAAAATTTAATTTAATTTATTGGTACATCTAGGTAGACAGTACAGCTACATTCATTACTGGGATCTTGTACCTTTACATGCCAGGTCTTGGTTCTCATTTTTTCCCTCCACCCTCCCTTCACCCTTCCCTCCACTCCTCCCTTGAAACACTTTAATTCCATTTTTACATTTTCTCATATTTTTTTCCTTTTCCCTTATTCCCCCTTCCCTATCCTTCTCATTGTCCCTACACCTTTGGTCCTTTTCTTCCTATTTGCTAATTGTCCCATTAGGATCTTGAGCACTATTTTAGTTTTTCACCCAGAGAAACTATTCAGTATTTGCATATGTGTGCCTTATTTATTTCACTTAGAAGTATATCCTCAAAATGTACCCATTTAACTATGAATGAATCTACTTTCTCATTCTTTATGGCTGAGTAGTATTTCATTTTATAGAAAAACCACATCTTTATCCAGTCTCCAACTGACGGGCAAATAGGCTGTTTCCTAGTTTTAGCTATTACAAACTGTGCCACTATAAACATGGGTGTGCGTATATCACTGTGGTATGATTCTTTCACTTCTTTTGGAAAGATACCCAACAGAGGGATGGCTGGGTGTTTTTGTATTTTTTAATGGAATGTGCTGAATGTCTATAATTTTGTTCAGATGATGCAGAACCTGGAAAAGCTGTTGCTGCAATTGATACATAACATACAGCTATTATTGGTCTATATATAAAATTTGAATTTTTGGAAACTTTAACTGTGCTGTCAACTTTGGAAAAAGATCACAATTTACTGAGTTGAGTTGGCATTGTACAGAAATTAACAGCCATATTGGTCTAGAAATATTAATTTTTTTTCCATTTGTACAGGGGTAACTCACTCTTTTAAATATGTAAGGTCATATCTACATGGGTTTGATTACAGAAACTAATATTCTCTAAATAATGAAAGAAAAAGAATAATATAAGACTACAAGAGCAAGAAGCAATTTAAATATGTTCAGGGACCATTTTCATCTTCAGAATTAAGAATTATTTTAATTTTACATCATTGCCTTTTCTCTTTTACTTTCCTTTTTAGTTTTATTTTAGGATTTCCTATTTTTAATGTTCATACAGAGATTTCTTTAACTGAAATACTGAATAGTTTCTCTGTTGTGAAAAACTGTAATAGTACACAAGATCCTAATGAGATAATTAATAATGTGAAACAGGAAGCAAAGGGCTAAAGGTGTAGGGAAAGTGGGAAGGGTGGGGGAAAGGTAATAAGGGAGAGGAAAAAAATATGAGAAAATGAAAACATGGAAGTAAAGTGTTTGTAAATGGAGAGGGGAGGAGAGGGTGAAGGGAGGGCAGGGACAAGGGGAAAAAAAATGAGAATCAAGACCTATCATGTAAAGGTACAGGATCCCAATAATGAATGTAACTGTACTGTATACCTAGAATGTACCAATAAACTCAATAAAAAGAAAAAAAGTTAGGAACAAAGTTCACAACAATGCAGGTATACTTAACATTTAATAATGGCTAAGATGGTAAATTTTAAGGTTTTTTGCAATTTATAAAATCCGCCTCATGTGAAAAAAAAAAGTAAGAAAAGTTGGAGAATGCAGTAAAAGAAACAAAACAGCCAGGACAAGAAAAATGAAATTCCTTATAAATGGAAGATGTTTAAAAAGATGCGTAGGTCTGGGGATTTAGCTCAATGGTGCTGCAAGCGCAAGGTCCCAAATTCTATCCCTGATTTTTAAAAAAGTGCATAAATCTGTCAAACGCTGCTGAGAAATGGCCTTGGTAGGTCTGATAATGGTCCCTTGGATTTGATAAAATGGCTGTTTTTGGCATCTTGACCAAGAATGATTTCACAGGGAATTAAAGGATAATTGGGGTAGTTCAAGAAACGTGGGTAAGGGTAGGAATCTTTGCTGTAAGTGCAAAAAATGGAATGGTGGGAAAGCTTTGGGAAGGTTTTCAAATGAAAAGTGGGAGACATGTTAACACGTATAAACAAACCGATAGAGCAAGACTGTCATAAATGTGGAGCTAATTGCAAGAGTCTTGAGTAGCAGGAGAGATGAATACTGGTCACAACTAGATGGACTGAGAGAGGGTAGAGATAATTCATGCTGTAACAGGAAGAAAGGAAATATAGGGGTTCTGATGTGTGTTGTTAAAAGATTTGGAGTGAGAAATTTGTTTTCGTGTCTCAGTTTTAAAAGCAAGCTGAGAGGAGGGAGGATAAAGGTCTGCATAAAGAGGAGGAAGGTGTTGACTACTTCCTTGGGAGAAGGAACATGTGGATTGATCAGAAAAACAGGTAAGGATTGCAACATAGCGCAGTGGGATCTTAATTTTCTGGATTATGAATTTAAAGTGAAGAATTAGCATGGTCATATGCTTCTCCAGCCATGTCCAATGGCTCAGGTGCAAAGTAACTGTGTATAAAGAATATTCAAGTTATCAGTTGGGTCAAGAGAATTTAGCGTATGTGCAAGAATCATGATATCTACACTAAATAAAAAAGAAAGTGAGGAGGGATAAGTGATGTAATCAATTGCCCAGAGACCTAGAATAGCCAGAAATTGCTGGGAAAGGTATAACAAATATAGTAACCCAGCAAGAGTATGATGCCAGAAACTGAGGGGTTTTGTTTTGATTGTTTTTCCTTGCTGGTGCTGGGGATCAAACCTAGGACCTCACCTATGCTAAGCATGAGCGTGTTACACTTTCCTAGCTTTTGTTTTCTTCTTCTGTTTTTTGGGTTTATTTTGTTTTGAGACTGGGTCTTACGTTGCTCAGGCTGGCCTTGAACTCCTACCTTATCTCAGCCTCCCAAGTCTGCACACTAATTAGTCTGGCTAGAAATTGAGATTTTTGAGGATAATTAAGATCTAGAGCAGTGTTCTTTAAAATTACATGTTGAGTTCCATTAGTGGGTCATGACAACAATTTAGTAAGTCCACTTCATAAAGTTAGCCTTGTTAGGGTTGGGGATTTAGCTCAGTGGCACCATACCTGCCTTGTAAGTGTAAGGTCCTGAGTTCGATACCTCATACTGAAAAAAAAAAAAAGCCTGTTAACCATGGCTGCACATCAGAATCACCTAGTCTAAAGTTAAAAATGAAAAACAGTACCACAGACCTTTGGTCTGAAGTCTGGGGGTTGAACACAAGACTTCATTAAATTCTCCAGGCAACTCCAATATAAGGCTATCATCAGTAACTATCGATTCAAAAAAGACACTGGCATAAAAAAGACTGATGCTAGAAGTAATGGTAGACAGACAGTTAAGCCACATGGTAGAATCTAAGAACTGGGGAGAAAGATATAAGATCAAATGTGATAATTACAGGAAGGTAGGGTGGTGGTTGGCACAGTATAATTAATGTTCTGAACAAAAAGCATCAGCACAAAAGAAAAATGTTTATGCAGCCATAAACACACACACCTATTTATGCATTTTGTTGGTAGATTACTAATAGAACCTTTGACTTTTTTTTTTTTTTAAGTCACTGGGGATTGAATCCAGGGCCTTCCCATTGAGCTACATCTCCAGCTCTTTCAATTTTAGACCAGGTCTCCCTAAATTGCTACTGTCCAGATTAGGCTGGATTCCCTCACCTCAGCCTCCCAGAATGCTGGGTTACAGATGTGGGCCACTATGGGGGACTTGGCCGAGGAGTGAATGGCTAAACTCTGGGGCCTAAGCAAACAGGCTCTGTGAGGTGTCAATGGTTAAACAAGAAGTTTAGATTAGTGAAGCACATGGTTTCTGGCCACTTTTCTTCCCCTTTCCACAAGAACACCGCCTATCCTTGAGACAGCTTCTTGCCCAAACTGCTTTTCTTACACTGATATTCTAAATAGCCAGAGAGCTCTCAGCTTTGGAGATATTCCTGGGAGTCTCCCAGATGCTGGTGCTCTCTGTTGGGAAAGCCCCTCTGGCCTTTTCAGTGACTGAACCGTTTCATGATTTTTCATCCTCTGTACCACCACAGCTGCACACTGTGACAGGCCACCCCATCTGGCAACTTGAGCAGGAGGATCACAAGTGGAAGCTCAGCAGGGACAGCTTAGCTACTTAGGGAAGCCTTGTCTCAAAATAAAGTAAAATAAAGTAAACCTGATAAGGACTAGGGATCTAGCTCGAGAGTAAAACCACTTAAATTCAGGGATTTTCCCAAGTCCCACCAGGATAGTCTGATTTGAATACATTTTAGTAAGAATATTAATATAAAATTATAAAAAACTATTTTTAAGAGAAAATAAATTGGAATGTTTATTGGTAAATTATGTCAAGCTCCATAATTTAAAATTATTTAAAACAAAATTAAAAACATCTGTAAAAGTTCAGAACATTATTTTAAAATTAATGTTTAAAATATTATAGTATCATGGTTATGAAAATAACAATTAGGGCAAGCTATACAGTTTTAATTATAAAAATGTTAAAATGAAATACCTAACATAGTATGTCTTGTTGTTGCTTTGGGGGGAAAAGGTGGGGACAAATATTTTTATTTACATATATTTATTAAGAGACTTTCCATATGACATTGCAAATAGTCCCACTTCGCTCATATTTTACTGCAATACATGAATTCACCCAAAGGAGACAGGATATATACAATTGCAAAGGCGGTGTGAAAATAAGCCAACACCTGGAATTATTACTAAGGGTGTTCTCCTGAACACCTAAGGCACACTAGTTACAGAGAAAGCACACCGTCCACCTTCAGGAACACACATAGCAACTCCACTTTATTAAACCACAGAGGAAACAAAATATAAATAATTGATCTTTTGCTTTTTTTACGTTTTTAAGTTTTTTCTCAGTCATAATGAATTCTGTTAGAACAGGTTTTTATTTAACGTGTATGGTTTAAACACAATTAAATTTTGTATCTGACATTCTCTTTTGTACTTATACCTAAATTTTAAAAAATTATAACTTTGAAAATGAATTGTAAAAAGCTGTTTTCAATTTATATGCCCCAGAGCCCAACATTTACATACCATTCTGGAAGACTGCTAAGTTACAACATATAGGCAGAAGCGAAAACATTGATATGGCTTAATGTACATTAGAATTTTCCAAAATGTTTACTATACTTACCCCATGTACTTTTAAAGAGTTGATGATAATTTTTTTTGGTACCGGGGATTGAACTCGGGCCCTTGTGCTTGCGAGGCAGGCAGTGGCACCAATGAGCTAATAAATCCCCGGCCTCCCCCCCATGTACTTTTATATTCTGAAAGTTTAGACTAATACATCAACAAGTTTTATTTACTGAAAAAACTGCCCTAAACTATATGTTTTATAAAATTCTAAATACAAAATTTAATTTGATTTTCATAGAACTGTATTATGCAATAAGCCCATGTAAGAGTCAACATAATATAATATCATATATAAAAGTGTATCTTTCTCATCACAGTTATTCTAGGTGGCAATAATTAATTACACATGGCAACGATTATTTTATCAAGACCTCTGCTATTGACTAGACTTGAATATATTTCCCTTGATGGCAGACAGCAAATTTGTGAATAACTGATTTTACAGTTAGAAGAAAGCATGACGCATAGCATCAAAGGTGGCATTTCTTTGTAAACAGATTATTATATGGGTTACAAACACAGGCTCAGAAACTGAAAACACATTAAACACAAGTATTATAGGAATATTTAGACACATTTATCATGGCTTATTAAGAGTCAGATTATTGAAGCACAATGTGATTAATTCACAGTATAAACACATTTTAAAGAGTAATTTAAGACAAGAATAATAAAATATAAATATCACGTCAGTTAAGGACTATTCATACATATTTGTTCTGCTACATATATGAAAATATACACCTAGATACAATAATTTTACATAAATCTCCACTGATTTAAATAAAAGTTGATTGATAGAGGTAGAATTTGTGTTCCTATTCATGATTTTCAGGAATGAGCACTTCAAATTGTTCAGTACTGTTGTGTTCATTTTAAAATCCATATAGAGACTCCTGGAAAACCATTATTCTGAAAAGATAGGGGGAAGTTAGAAAAATGATAAACAATTACTCAATATATATTTATAAAAAATCAAAATTCACCAGTATTTTGAATTTTAGTCTCTAATAAAACCTTGTGCCCAAAGTTGTTATACTAAAGAAGTACAATGTTAAGAAGGACTGCTCTGTACTTTAAAATCAGAAGTGATTTTGGTTTTCTTATTTATACTTCTTGCTGAGTGAACATGCATGGAACCCCGACATAGTAAGAAATACATATTTGGTCTTTTGCCCCTGAGTCCTGACACAGAGCACCTTGCAATCTCCAGTCCCAAGTGTCTGTTGTATGTAAATGAGATGAATGGTGGCTGAGGGTTAAACAGCCCCAGGACAGGATGGGGCCAGCCAGCAGAAAGATCAAGGCATGGTTTGGGTGGAGAGAAGGCTGAAAATCGAGCTGATTACCAGCGGCTGACAATTTAGTTGGGTTATACTCATGTAATGAAACCTCCATAAAAAACCAAATAGACTGGGTTGGAAAGCTTCCAAAAGCTGGACGTGTGGAGGTTGCTAGTGGAGGGCCTGGTGTGGGCTTGGGAGCTCTGTGCTCCTTCCACCATACCTTGCCCTTCCATCTGGCTAGGAGCTTCCTTTGTGATAAAAGGGTAAACATAAAGAAATGTTTCCTGGTATTCCATGAGTGCTCCAGCACATTACCTGAATTAGGGAGGGGGGCTGTGGGAATCTAGGTTCACAGTAGTCTTACGGTCAGCCCTAGATGTCCCCTAAAAGCCTCATGTGGTCAAAGGCAGGGCTTTCAGAAGGTGAATGAATCTTAGGGGCACTATAGCTAACTTGCTCTCAGGAGATGGGATCTGGTGAGAAAAGGCAGGTCACTGGGAGCATGACTTGGAAGGGTGTATATCCTCTCCCTGGCTCCTCCCCTTCCTCTGCTTCCTGACCACCATGACCCGAGCAGCTTTCCTCCATCCAGTCCCTCTGCCATGCCTTTCTTGAGTTTCATGAAATGAAACTTCTGAAAGAAGCAGGCCACAATCTGAGCCTTGCAACTGACACCTGAAGTGGGAGCAAAAATTCTTGTGGCACCGAGTCCCCTAACAATAGGATCTGACACTATTGCCAGGTAAACAGTGCAGAGAATGAAAATGATAGGTATGACCTCAAATAACTAGGATTAGAGGTTCTGTCTGACCCAGCCATCTCTCTGATGGGTATCTTTCCAAAAGAATTAAAAGAATCATATCACAGTGATATATGTACACCCATGTTTATAAAGGCACAGTCTATAATAGCTAAAACCTGGAAACAGCCCATCTGCCCATCAGCTGGAGACTGGATAAAAAAGATGTGGTTTTTCTAGAAAACAGAATACTATTCAGCCGTAAATAATGAGAAATTAGAGTCATTCATAGGAAAATGGATACATATTGAGGATATACTCTTAAGTGAAATAAATAAGTCACACATATGCAAATACCGAACAGTTTCTCTGGTGTGAAAAAGTATAATGGTACATAAGATCCTGACAATGTGAAATAGGAAGAAAAGGACTAAAGGTATAGGGGAAGTTAGAAGGGTAGGGGAAAGGAAATAGGGGAAAAGAAAAAAATATAAGTAAAGGAAAAAATGGAAACAAAGTCTTTATAAATAGGGCAGAGGGAGGGGGTGAATGGAGGGTGGGGGTCAGGGGAAAAAATGAGAACCAAGACCTGTCATGTAAAGGTACAAGATCCCAATGATGAATGTAACTGTACTGTATACCTAAAATGTACCAATAAACTCAATGAGAGAGAGAAAAAAAAAGAAATGACAGGTATGATAGAGGACTTGGTGTCAGAAATGTGCTAAAATTGTGTGAGAGTAGCAAAGACATTGTTTTTTTCTATCTCAAATGTCATGTATCAGATAACAATAGTCAAAAAAAGTAAAAACAGGCTGGGCGTGGTGGTGCATGCCTGTAATCCCAGCACTTGGGAGGCTGAGGCAGATTCGCTGTGAGTTCGAGGCCAGCCTGGACTACAAAGTGAGACCCTATCTCAAAACACTAAAGAACAACTGTCTGGGAGCTCAGTGCCCCTGTAATCCCACCACTCAGGAACTGAGGCAGGAGGATAAAAGATTTGAGGCTAGCCTGGGCTATATAGGGAGATCCTATTTCAAAACAAACAAATACAAAACAAAATCAACCCCAAACAAAATATCCCCAATAAAAATAATAGTATAATGTAGGGGTTGGGATCCTTGAGATTCCCTAAGACCCAGATAAGGAATCCAGAAGGTCAAGCATATTTTTATAAAACCAAATAATTATTTGCATCTTCACTCTTGTTTTCTCAAAGGTTACAGTTGAGTTTTCCAGAGGCTACGTGACACAAAAGATCTGAAGAAAAGCAGTTTTAAGGGAATGCAAATTGTGGCTATGCTACAGTTAAGCTTACTACAAAAGCAAGCAGTGGGATGTATTTGGCTCACAGACCCCCAGGTCGCCAACCTCTGATCTAAACTGCATCTGTGAATTAAGCACAAGAAAATATCTGTCACACTGTTACAAGGCTTTATCACAAGAAGGTGAAGCCACCTAATCACATTCAAAATAACGCAAGAAGTTGTGAGGACACAGTGATTACAGCAAGCACTGCAAAGTCGTCAAGGTGAAAGAAGTAAATAAACACTTTAACCAAACAAATGAAACACGAAAGCACACCCACCAGGAATCATTTAAACGTAGGCCCTACAAATATGGGGCATCAGTATGTTAAAGCAAAGGACCTAACTAACATTCAGAATGAGGCTTGAGTCATCGAGGAAATGTGAATTATCTTCTTTGTACACTGCTTCTATTAAAAGAGGCAAAGAAATGCATCCATTTAAAGAAGACTGGCTGGACTATTTTTGTCAATGAATCTGTAGTTTTCATAATCACTGTCAAATGCTGGGTCTGACTCAGGCTTCTTTTCCATTCCTTACCACCTCCAGTGAATCCACACACCCCTCGATCCATCCTCAGCCAAATGCACCTTCTTTGGAAAACACTTTGCCATATCTACTAGAGCTCGAACACATGCATATCACGGACCCAGCAATTTCAGTCCTAGTGTAACCCAGAGCACTAGCAGTATGCAGGAGCACAAACTGCGAACTACTGAATGTCTATTCACAGCAGAGGGAGCACAGGGATCACGGCAAGCTCACATCGTGCAGCCATACAGCCGATAATCTGCAAGTACACACAACAGTGGGGATGGTCCTCACAAATGTCTCATTTATAAATGTCGGGACACATTAAAAACAAATCTACGCTTTAACAGTGAAGACATGTACTTTTAAAGCAGGCCTTGTGGCTAGAAGTAAACCCAAGAAAATATTTCGTTTCTTGATCCGAGTGCCTGTTGGGTAGATGTGTTCAGTTTGAAAATGCATTGAGGTATATATACACCTATGACATGGCACCTTTTTGTAAGTATAATTTACTTTTAAAAACCTGCCATAGTTTTCAATATTATTATACTGATTCTAAACTGATAACTCATTTCACACCTCTTGTCTCTCTAACTCTGGTTCCTACCCTTTCCAATATGGCCAGAACACAGTTGTGATGTTAATCCCCCAGAAGTGACTCTTTCATCTGAAACATCTTTGTATCCACCCTATACAAACAAGGCCCTATTACTTACAGAATAGTCTACAATCTCACATTCAATATACTTCACACACTCCAATTCTACCTTCTCCTTCCCTCATTATTCCCCCACAACTGCCACTGTGTTCAAGCTTTCACTGCCTATTATTTGTATCTGGAACTAAGTACTTCACAGAATACACCCTCTGATATATCATATTATAACTTAATGCTTGCTGTGACCATCTTCTCTTTCTCTTTTCATTATTTTCCAGGGCTGGGGATTGAGCCCAGGACCTTGTGCCTGCTAAACAAGAGCAGTACCACTGAACCTCTCTCCTTTTAATTCAAGTTTAATCCAACTCTCATTCCTTTTAATTCAGGTTTAATTTCCATACAATGAGATCTATATATCGTAAATGTTCAGGTTGGTGAGTTTTTAATAGTTGCATATACGCATGTAACCACCACCACCAAAACATGGATCACTGCCATTGCTCAAGTAAGTTCTCCTGAACACCTTTCCAAGGGATCTCCCCTCCCCTGAAAGAACACTATGTCCTGAGACTTTGTAACCAGAAGACTAGATTGCCTGTTTCTGGTGTTACATACATACGTTTATGTTCTGGAGAATGTGGAGGAGACTTCAGTGTAGAACTAAGGGGAGATGTAGGAAGACCATGTCGACGCATCTCTTGGATCGCTCGTTCTCTGTTGGAAAAGTAGTAAGAGAAATTTCAGGTATAATGAAAAACCAGAAAGTGGCATACTGATATAAAGTATTGTTGGTGCTCTTAATTAAGGTCTACTAAACTAAGTAGTATTTTTTACCAAATTTATTTTGTTGTAAGACAGGGTCTTACTATGTTGTCCATGGTGATCCTCCTACCTCAGTCTCCCAAGCAGCTAAGACTGCAGGTGTGTGCCATGGTGCCCAGACTTGGTATTTTTACTAAATTAAAACCCTATGTCTTTGTAGGATTTTAAGTAGTGTGTGAAATATTTCAATTAAAAATATGCATTATAAGAAACTGTTCAAAGCAGTTATGCTGTGACCATGTCAGACCAGTGGGACATCATTAAAATAATATTTAATTAAATCAATTATTTTTTCGTTACCAGGGATTGAAATCAGGACCTTGTATTTGCCAGGCAGGTGAGGTGTCACTGAGCTAAATTTAGAAACAAGATGCACACATATATTTAGTGAAAAAAAGTAGGATGCCAAGTATACAGTCAGACAAACATAGATATAAACACAGGATTAGATGTTAGACTGAGAATGTTGACGACTCTTGGAGAACTCACGATTTTCTTTTTATACTTAAAAAACTACAGGCCTATTAACGCGTTCTTAAAAACTAAACGTCTCTGTTAACAGCCAAGTTGTTTATCTTGAGCATTCTGTAGGATGTGGCTCTGTTAACCTTCAGCTTCTCTGGCTTACCACCTCCTGGTTCTCTTTCTGTTAATATGACCATTTCTTAGACCTTCTACCAGACCCTTCTCTGGTCTGGACCTACATTCCTTGCTGTGGTGTTCTCCAGGACTAGTTCATTTCTTCTTCTATGAGCCAAGGATTATGATTTTAGGTGCCAATGACTTTCCCAAGTCCACATCTTTGGTCCTGTCTTGCGCTCCAGGCCCATATAAACATTTGTTGGACCTGCAGGGGCACTCAGTGTACCCTAAAGTACCTTGTATGTTCCATTCTCCAGCATACCAATGAAACCCCTCACTGACCTGTACCCCTAGTTTCACACTGTTGTAGGACGCGTGTGTATGTGTATTCTCATGAGTTTCCAAGTCATTAATCATTTGTTGGCCCTCTGAGTAGTTTCTAAACTGGCTAGTTCCTTCCTCTGCCTCCTTTCCCACCTCTTATTGCACCCAACCTGGCCCTCCTTCCTGCCTAAAAACTCCCACATTTATAAATGGAAGGGGCCACTCTTGATCACACCTTCCCTCCTGTGTCTGGGTCTGCCACGTAAAGCAAGCCTGCTGGCATCGCCTTTGCTATTTACTTCCTGGCCCCGATGCCTTGAGTTCTTCAGTATCCAGGATTTCTACTTAGTTCAGTGTTTCTGAAACATTTTCATTATTATTCTCCAACAGAAATTATTCTTCAATAGACTTTCCTCTCAGATTATCGTGCCACCCAACAAAATTTTAACATGCAGAGACACTATTATGTACTCTGGCCTATAGGAGGGCAATAAACTATTGTATCACTATTGTATCTTAGGTGATACAACAGTTTACTATGATAAACTATTATTATAGTTTATATACATGGTATATATTTATAATAGTTTATATCTTAGGATTTTACTCTTTTTGCTACCTCTTTTCCTTTCCTCTAATAACCAATTTTGGCCCTTGAGGGTAGTGTGATATTGCCCTGAGACAATGTATAACTTATTGGACAGCAGGAGAAGAATGTCATGGTCCTGTGGCTGAAAGTTTCTTTTAGGGCAACGGGTAAGGAAAGGGCAGGAACTAAGAGGGGCTTATAGTCTGGGCTATCACAGAGGACTGAATTAGGATCCTTGAACTGAAGAGAATTTAAGGTATCACTAAGAAATGAAAGTTATTACATACGTACAGATTAGCATATTCAGGAACTAGGTCTTCTAAATTGCAAGAAATTGATGACACTGCTTTTAGGTCATTGTTATTATCTAAGGCTTCATTTCTCTTTGAAATCATAAATACTGATTTTATAACAAATTTCCTCTCTACTTTAAATAGCATGTCAATTAAAAGTTTTGATATAAAAGATAGAATAAGAGAGCTCAAAAACTGACCTAATAAGCAGTTTTACCACTATTTGAATGAAAGTTCAGGATGCTATGGTATTACTACAGTAAGAAAGAGTAACTCAGTATAAACTGGGTAGAGCCATGTACGTCAGTAATTACACAGCTTCTTGGGAGTTTGAGGCAGGAGGGTCACAAGTTTGAGGCCAGTGCTCACTTTGGCAGCACATATACAAGTATGAGGTCAACATGGGCAATCTAGCCAGACTTGTCTCAAATAAAATAATTTTGAGGATGTAGTTCAATTCTAGGCCCTGGATACAACCCCTAATATAAAAAAAAGAAGAAAGGAAAGAAGAATGGAAGGAAGGAAGGGAGGGAAGAGAGGGAAAGAGACAGAGAGAGAGAGAGAGGAGGGGGGAGAGGGAGAGAGAGACAGAGGGGAGGGTAAATGGGGAAAGAGAAAGGAAAGGAAAGGAAGGTAAGTAGGTAGGTAACTTGGCAAGTGCAACTGATTTAGAATTAGATTATTTTTTAAAGCAGGTCTCATTTGTGTTTGTAAAACTTAGGGATTAAAATTTCATAAAGCAAACAAACTGAAATGTGAGTATGAAAATTATTAAGGTATAGGACAGACATGTTTAGGTTTAGTCTTGACTTTGCCACTCACAATTGTGTGACCTCAATTTCCTACAATGTAGGCATAAGAGATTGTTGACAGGATTAATCAGACACATACCTGGTGCTCAGCATGTATTTGCTAATTGCTCTTGTGATTATGATCATTAACACCGCCTTTCTAATCATCTGGGACTTACGACTTGAACTGTATTTTTGGGGACTCTTCTAGGGATGTTGTTGATTCCCTATCTATAACCTCTGAAATAATGCTCTAATTTTGCCTTGTGGAATAGTACAGGAGCCATTTATACACGTGCTATGTTAGATTTCCCTCACCCTAAGATGGCTGCTATGTAAAATGGCAGCCTTCTCCTTCCCATAATACCCTGCTTCCCACTTAAATATGGCTTCTCCCACCAAAAGATATCTTTCTTCTGCCCCAAACCCTTCCCAGCCAAGAGTAACCTGATATTGCTACTTCCTAGCAACTAGTGATGTCACAGGCTCCTCCAATCCCTAGCACTACATCACTCACTTCCACCCCAGCTCCTATAAGCCCCACCTCAGCTCCTATAAGAGCTCTCTCTGTCCCCAGCATGCCGCTCTCTCCTTTGTTCGAAGACAGCGTGGCAGATTGTCCCTACAATAAAGGATTGTTGTGGTTCCACTCTGGTCTTGGTTTTTGGCTGTTTTACCTGACACTTTAGGGATGTAATCTTCCATAATACTTGTTGGATTGCTCCCCCTTTTTTCTATAATAGGAGTTAAAGCCAGGGGTGCTCTACTATTGAGCTGTATTTCCAGCCATTTGTATTTTTTGAGACAAAGTCTCACCAAGTTATCTAGGCTGGCTTCAAATTTTCAATCCTCCTGCCTCAGCTTCCAACTACTGAGATTACAGGGCTTGTGTCACAATGCCTGGCTACTTTTTGGCTTTTTACAAGTTACCAAAAATGTTTATTTTACATATTAATGCTAAGAGTAAGTTTGTTATTTACAAGCTGTATTAAACCCTTTTTGGAACAGGACAGAAATTACATAAAAAGAGTGTTCAATGCTGCAAATTCTTTTCTTACCGTTCATATCTCTCCGTTGAAATTTGCCTTTTTAGAGAATCATAATCTGTTTGTAACTGTCCCACTTTAGCTCGAAGCATGGTGTTTTCCCTGCTTTGACTAGTTCTTAAAAACAAATGACAGAAATAAATCACAAATGTTCTCTTTTGTAGTGTCAAGTGCTACGATTTTGTTAACAAATACAAATGGAGGTGATACATATGGGTACAAAGACTTTTTTTGTTGTTGTTGTTTTTTGGTTCCACGGATTGAACATGGGTCCTTGTGCTTGCGAGGCAGGTGGCAGAACCAGTGAGCTAAATCCCCAGCCCTCTTTTATTTTTTTCCTTCAAAGACTTTTCAGTAGTAAGTCTCTAAACTTGTAGAGTATCTATCATGGTTTTCTTTCTCATTCATCTGGTTTACTTATCATTTACTGAGCTTCTAATACGTGCCAGGTGCAGCAGCAGCACAGGGGATACAAATGTGAACACCAGAACTAGACACCAAGATGTAAAAATACCTTCACTGGTTCTTTCTTGATTCTTGACTCAGAAAGAGTTTTAAACCCCTTCAAAAAGCCTATTCTTCCATTTGTAGTATCTACTTTTCCAACAAATATTTCCAAACCTCTCTATTCTCAAATGACATCATCACTGATCTTCCCAAAGTAATTAATACACTTAGGAGGGTGGAACTTTTGCCTTTTCTAAGTCTTTACCTTAATCTACAGCATGAGCTGCAGACACCTCTTCCCATCCTGCAATGTTCTGCCCTTTTGTGTGCCCTGACCATTCCTCAAAGTGAACTTCTCCTAATGACCACTCTCCTGCTCTCCCAGCACCATATCAGTGAAGATGTGCGATCCACATCTCCAAACCTCTGAACTTTCAAAAGCAGCAGACAAATATTTTGGGTCCGTACCACCCTTCATTTCCCCCTTCTCCCCCAATATAAAAAAGCTATCTGGAATAAGTTATTTTCTTCACTTTATGTTGATTTATGACACTTACAATTTGCTTTCTGAAAGGGTTAACTTCTCCTTAAGTAGCTGAATTTCTGTATCCTTCTCATGGGAGTTTAAATGAGAATGAAATTCTTTATCTCTATTTGTAGCCAACAGTGATTCAAGGTTTTTAATCGTGTATCTCTCATTTGACAGTTGTTTTTTTAATAGTTCTGATTCTGACTTTACATTTTCTAATTCTACAAGTGCCTACAGGAAAAACAAAGATTAATTTAGTGCCATTTTACACTCACTCTGAAAATGAGTTACCTGACAGCATAGTTCTGCAGAGCTACTTACCGATCAGCTGCTTCATTCTGAATACTGGTATCAAGTAATGATTTTGAACAATTTCTTTAATCATGAGAAAAACATACTGTTTTCAAAATGAGCTCTGCTACTAAAATTAGAGACTGCCCTTGTCTCTAAATTCCCTCACAGATCAAAGAGTCCAGATTTACCACATTGTGTGCCTGTGGGTCCAGCTTTTCTCCAAAGACTTCTGTGATCAAAACTTCTTAATATGTTATTGCTGTTGCTAAAGATTTTTGTTCTCAATTTTCCCCCAAAGCTTATTTTTGAGTATCCTCAGAGAATGACAGAAAAAGTTGACCTAGGGGGTTTTTATGTAGTGTGATTAATAGTAACTTTTTGCTGATTTCCTTAAGACATTTTTTTTTTTTTTTTTTTTTTTTTTGGTATCAGGGATCAAACTCAGTACCTTGAGCTTGAGAGGCAGACAGTGGCACCAATGAGCTAAATCCCCGACCCCTGTAAGACATATACCAATCCTAAAATACTTTTTCACTCATGCCACCTTGTTAACATTAAATCCTAAAATGTGGCCAGTCTATAAACTGAGGTGCTCTGGTTTCTTAAATCTCTCACTCTGACTACATCGTCAAGCCAGTACTGTAGCTTCTCAGTTCCCAAAAACACACCACTACATGAATGACAACTGAAGATACTTGAAAGCATACGCTGGCGAGTTAAGTAGTAATAACGCCTCTGTTTAACAGGAAGCTCCTGCTTCATTTAAATAAAATTTAAATGACTTGGGGGTTTTGTCAGGAAAAATATTCTACTTAGGAAGCAATGAACAGTTCAATTTTTCATTCAAGCCTTACTTGTAAACAGAGAGAATGTAGAGGATATGCACCTAATACATTATCGTCAAGTTCATAATCTCTTAAATATCCATCTATTTCAAAATACAGAACACCTAATCTTATCACTGGTATTGCTAGACAAATCTTGGCAAGGAATCTGTAGTCAAATCTGGTTGTCAAAGGCCTGTAGTCAAGAGGCTATCCTAAGGAGGAACAAAAATATGGGGTAGAGAATGGTAAAGTAAAGCAGAGTAGGACTCGATAAAACAATGTACAAACATAATTTCTCTAGTTCTTACCCTCTCCAACTCAAGGTTTTTAGAATTCAACTGTTGGGTCATAACATCTTTGCGTGAATCAAACTTAATGCAAAGTTCTCTAAGAGAAGACAAATCATTTAATACTGTTGCTTTCTCCTCTTCTTGATGTCTCAGCTCTTCTTCTAAACTAGCCATAGCTTTTGCCATTGATGAGATCTGAGATTCATAAGCATGATGTGCATTTATGTGCTGAAAAAAAAATGAAATAGGTGAAAAATTAAAGCAACCCAATAATTTTAGGGGCTTACATCTGTGTAGCCATAACTTCACTTTGGAAAAACATGAGAGCCAATTTTTGCATATTTTAAAACACTCTCAGGAAGTAGCCTGCTATTTAAAGTGGCCTATTTAATGCATAAAAGAAATGATGTATAATTATTAATCACGATAACCAAGAACTTCATATATATATTCGGAAGATGCAAATGTGAAAATTACTGTGTCAGGGTACTGTGTCTACGAGGGCTTTTTGAACTTAAGTTTTTCCTTTATAAATTGCCTTTGTGATAATAATATCTCACACATCATTTTCTAGCCATTTCTAGTTAAGTTCTAAATTTCAAAACTGGGATTCACTTTAAAACTAAATATTCTGAATGTTAAATACAGATTTACATAAACTCTACTTCCAAATTTTGGAAAGAATTCCACACTTGAAAAATGAAATTATTTTAACAGAATTTACTGAAATAATCAATATTAGAAATCAAATACTGACCTAGGAAGACTTCATAAGTATCAATAGTGGCAGAAAGGTGAACATTTGAATATTCCAGTATTAACACAGTTAAGTAAATAAAAGTTCCCCTCAACCTAATTATAAGTAAATAAAAGCCATTTCATACACCACTTAATATGAACAATGACAAAGAACAAAAGAATGAAAGAAGGGTTTGAGAAACTCTTGAAGCCTGAAAAGCATTCCTTGAACTAGTTAATTATACTTGTGTACACTTTCCTTGTCTTCAGAGAATACTACCCCAACAGGCTAAAAATCTGTCAAAATTATGACAGTTCTGTTTTCTTTTTCGTTTAACAGTTCCTTCATTTAACCAGGAATAGTGGTGCATGCCTGTAATACCAACACTCAGTAGGCTGAGGCAGGAGGATTACTGTAAGTCCAAGGCCAGCCTGGACTGCATAGTGAGTTCAAGGCCAGCCTGAACTATAGAGTGAGACCCTGTCTCAAAAAAACCAAAAGCCAAAAACAAACACCCCCCTCAAAAGCACCCAGTTCTTTCTTCTATTTCCCTTTTCACATTTACCAAAAGCAACAAGGACAACTAGCCTGCCCTTTCCACGCTTTGCTTGGAAATTTCCTTACCTAAACATCCATGTTCCTCTCTTACATGTTCTATTTTCTTCCCAACAAGAGCGCATTCATAATTTTTCCAAGCTCTCTGCCCCTTTATAACAAGGTCCACTTTTTCTCTAGTGTTCAATAATATTTCCTCAATTCCATTTGAGACCTCATTGGAAGAAACATTGCATTTATGACAATATATATAATCTATAAATAACAGAAGTTTGCTCTTTTTTCTGAACCTTCACCATATTCACCTTTAATGTCCTTACTTCTACTAGTTGTCTCTTTAAGACAATCTAGGCTTTTTCTATCAAGTACCTAAGAACTCTTCCAGTCTCTACCCATCACCCAATTCCAAAGCATCTTTCATATCTTTAGGTGTTTCTCACAGCAGCAACCTACTTTCTGGTACCCAAATCTGTATGAGGTTCCTAGAATTGCTGTAACAAATTGAATACAACAACAGAAATTTATTCTCTCACAGTTTTTGAAGCCAGACGTCTAAAATTCAGGAGTTAGTTATCATTTTCTAGCCATTTTTAGTTCAAAGAGCTGTTTTCCTCTAGAGATTCTGAAAAAGAACCTGATCTGTCCGTCTCCTAGGTTCTAGTGGTTGCTTAATACTAATATTGCTTAACATTACTTCAGTCTGCTTTCATATGATGCTTTTGTCCTTGTGTCTTCTATGTCCAAATCTCCATCATTTTATACATATATCTGTCTTGAGATTGAGGGTCTACCCCTGTCTAACATAGCTTCATGTTAACTATATTATATCTGTAAAAGCACCATTTCCAAATAAGGGCCTGGGGTTTAGCATCTAAATCTATCTTTCTGGAGGCCATAATTCCATCCACTAGAAAGAGTCAATACTTTCTCTTGAAAGATGACTACAGAACTATATCAACATCAACAACAAAACAAAAGTAAAATTAATAGTCAATTACTTTATACTGATTTAACTCATGGTCCTTATATTTTAACTGAACTTACAATTTTATTATGATTATTTTTATTAGATGATCTTTAAGACTATAGTTGATTTAAATATAAATGCAAAAGAATGATGTTGAATGATTACCTTTTGCCACGTACAAAAGTTAAGTCAAAAATAATCAAAGTTGGCAGCACCATTAAAATTTCCCAAAATTCAATTTATATATATGTGTGTGTGTGTGTGTGTGTGTG